AAGTCTCTTTTCAAACCTCTCCACAGCAGGAGCCCAAAACTCATATTTCTGAGGGTTATCTCCCAATGGTAATCCAAGGTAGTTTAGAGGCCAATTCGATATTACACATCCCAAAATGTCTGCACACTCACATAATTCCCCTTYTCCCATATTGACTCCAACTATACAACTTTTCTCAAAATTCACTTTAAGGTTTGACATTTGTTCAAACAGTTGTATAGTGAACTTAAGATTTCTAATCCTATTGATATCCCCTCCTTCACTGCAAGTGTGTGAGTGATATGTTTTCTCTTCCAACTCTCCAGCCTCTTATCAAATCCCTAGAATCTACTTTAGAGATCAATCTCCCCAGCACTTCTGCAACCAATGTAAATAGGAAAGGGGATAATGGGTCTCCTTGTCTAATCACAAAATATTCAACACAGAAAATGTAAATAGGAAAGGGGACATGGTTAAAAAACATTTCAATCACAAAATGTTCAACATAGAAACCAAACAAGCAAACAAGTAATTCTCCCCCCCCCAACAAAAAAAAAATTAATGACATAAAGAAAAAACAAGATAAAGAAGAGTTTAGGTTCAACATACAGAGCTGTTCACATGTCTTCCAATTCCTGAAAAAGCATCTGTTGCTCCTCTGGTTGCACTCATAACTTGTTGCAGTGCTGGTATTGCACCTGGGCCACATGGATGAAATCTAAGGTTCAACCACCAGGAATACTAACAGAAACAAAACATGAGTGCTTGGAGTACACATCAGGGTAGCACTTAATCCATAAATGGTCATATAATAATCCAGTTTCATATCAAATAAAGTGGATTTTTTTTTCTTTTACTATTCCTAACCATCATGAGATACAAAAAGATAAAGAAATTATCAAAATTTGAAGGCTTGTACCTTCTTTTGTTCTTTCCTGAAATTCAAGATCATGGCTATGATGCATGAGGAATGATGTATGGTGTATAAAAAGCAATCAAGAAGAAATGAATTGAGAAGCCAGTAAAAGTGGTATTAGACTCAGGTCATGATAATAGCATCAAAACTCAATACAGACATCAATAAAACAAGTTGAAATCAGTGCATAGAAAAATTACAGTAACACATAAAGGAATTAATTGCTGTGGAATAAAGGATGAATCCCAATACGATATTCATGCCATTCAAATTCCAAAACCACCTTATCTCCATCAGAATTCAAAATTGTTTGATATGGTAATTCTAGGCATTTTTTATCATCTGAAAGATAATGGTGTATCATCTGATACATGTGTACTGCCCAAGTTAAAGCAACTTCACATTCTCCTACATGCTGGAACTTAGAACCATTGTTCATAATTGATTACTGATTGGAGGGTAACTGAAGTTTCATTTACTTTGAACAAGGAGTATTGCAGAGGCATATATTAAACTATAATTATGCACAGCATTTTGATTCCTTAAGATCTTGAATAGTCAATAGCTGATAAAATGAATGTGCAATAAATATAGGTGACAAGTATATAAGCAATAAGTATAAAAGTATCAAACTCTTCTTCACAAAATCGCGAAGTGTATGACTAATTGAACATGCTCAATAGTTCGACAATAAAAACTTTAACATAGTTGATATCTGATACTCTGGATACGATTTCTTCTAATAATTGTAAACTTTCTATTTAAGTGAAACAAAAGAAAAGGGCCAACAAGATACAGAAACACCACATTTTGTTGGACAGAAGAAACCAGACTTTCCTTGTTTTCTCTACATATAAAGAAAATGAGCGCATGAAGGTGCCTTAATCTGCTAGACAATGTGTTTGTTTCAAGGTTTCCTTCTTAGAGAATGCTATTCAAAATGTTGTATCAAATGCATCATGAACTGCAAGGTATGCCAAGACCTCTAACTACAGAATGAAAAATAAATAAATAAATTAGGAACAAATTTAAAAGAATAAACGCTTGAAAATTTTACATAGATTAATACCAGCTGACTTATGCGGATTTGCACCATCATTTCCCCTGAAAAATCCTCCCAAGTTCATGTTGAGGCTACAGAGAGAGAGAGAGAAAGAGAGAGAGAGAGAGAGACGTACCCAAGTTTAAAGGGCGTCCGACGCCGATTCCAACACCACAACCGATGCCAAAACCTGTAAAGACTTGACCCACCTTCAAAGCAAACGGATTCTCTATTTGAATTGCAAGCCTCCTCGGAAGATTAGTACTTTTGCTGTTCTCCATTCGACAAAATGTCTCAACTACAAACCTTTTCTTCCTCTGGATTCCAAAGTTAAGGTAGAAACAGCGACCTAATACGGCATTCCACGGCCATAATCACCTGCCGCTGCCTGTTAGAATTTGGAGCTCAGCGTGTGTGGAAAGTGGAATTGTGTGCGCGCGCGGACTCGACTCGACAAAAATTGATCAGGGTCGACAAGTGAGTAGGAAAAGTGAGTAGAGAGTGGGCAGCAAAAGTGAGTAGGAAATCTGAATTCCTGTTGAAAATATTGGGAACATCTCCGGACAATAGACTGAACTCTATCTCAAAAATCGCATCCTGCCCGTGGATTTCGCATCCGATCAAGATTTACCCCACCTGTACTATAGGGCTAAGATTTATAGGAAATATGCTATAAAATTAGTGTGACGTACATTCTGTAAAGATCTGATCCGGACTCTTCCATCCCGTGCACCGTAGAGGGCACAATTGCTTAACACTCCGGGTCTGAGGTCGTCCAGACTGGGGTATTGGATCCAAACACTGCCATATACAAGGTCACAAACTCACAATGTGGAGCCAGGGGAGGTATATTGTAGGGCTGTCAATCATCTGGGTCAATCCCAACTAATCCAACCCGACCCTTCAGATTAGGGCTGTCAATGGGTCGGGTCTACCTGACAGCACCGATTGGTTGTTCCGAATTGATTCAGACTCAAACCGATCATTTTTTATGTTAGAAAAGTCTCCTGGTTTTCTTGTAAATTTTGTCATTTTTCATGTTAGAAAAATCTCCTGGTTTTCTTGTAAATTTTGTCATTGTTTACGTTAGAAAGGATAAATTTTATAAATTGTATATTTGGTAATTTTGATTAAAAACACTTGTTTTAACGATATAATCATTTTTTATTGAGTTTAAATATCAAAACTAAAGTTAAAGTTGTTGTTATCGTAGGTAATTATAGATCTCAAGTAAAATTGGATGAAACACGATATAATAAATAGCAGTGTTTTTTGAACAGTTGTTAATTCAAACGGTTCAGAGAACCATTGACTTGGGCAATCGATTCCGTTTTCACCCTTAACCCATTCATGGGCCAAAACCCGTTGACTTGGTCAGAAAACCACTGACCTGGATGGTTGAACCGTCGATCCGTTCAATCCAAACAGCGATTCATGGGCATAGTAGAGAGAGAGAGAAGAACAATCTCATATCTGAGATCACTAAATCCCAACAGAGAGAAAAAGAAGATTACAAAGGTTGGAGACCATAAAGAAATCAGATCTCATATCTGAGATTTGAGTTTCTATTGTTGCCGCCATCTGTCGTCGTCATTATCATCGCCAGTGAAGGTCGAATCCTCCTCCACCTCTTCCTTCTTCTTCCCTCCTCCTCCTCCTCCTTCCCTCCTTCCATCCTTTCTTTTATTTCCTTTATCTCTTTCCTTTCCTTTTTTTCTTTTATCTTCTTTCTTTCCTTCTTTCCTTCGTTCTTTCTTTCATTCTTTTCTTTTTATTTCTTTCTTTTTCAGCAGGCAACCGCAACCTCTCTTTTTTCATAAAAAAAACTATTACCTAAAAGTATAAAAAAATAGCATTTGCCCTAATAATGTAACTGGTCCAAACCATTCGACCTGAATGGTCGAACCCTGACTCAAAAATTGGTGGCTATAGCGGTTCTATTTTTGGGTCGGTCTTTAAAACCTTGATAAATAGGACGTTCTGGATCTATCAATTTTTTCCCACTTCATATAAGAGGATTCAGGTAGGAGGAAGGTGGTGCAAAATTTACATCAATTTTTGAAATACAAAACTTATACTACCAATGAGTGCAAATGAAACAAAAATTACAAATTTTATATCAAATAGGAATACAAAATCTTAATTACAAATAAACAAATGCAAAATTGAATTAGATGCAATAGATTTGCCATGCACCAAACTAAGTGTGACCCAAATTAATATTTTATACTATTTTGAGTTTGGGCTTCAGATCGGGCTCATTCAAATTTTGATAAAACCCAGCCCTATGCCGCCTAAGCCCTAAACCAAACCCAACCAAAAGATCAGATAAGAAGACATAGAGTATGATTTTTCGCAAACACGGCCTTGAGGTTACTTAGGTCAATGGCCTGAAACCCATTAACAGATTTGTAGACCAGCCCAGCCCCTGAAAGAAATTTCCGGTTTTATTCATCAAGAAATTTCAGCCCTCGAGTCCAAAACTGCGCATAGGCCATAGTCGCTTATCATAGGTGCTAAGCATGGCCCATGAAAACCCCTTATACAGTTTTACTTCCTTTTAGGTAGGGATACAAACGAATTGGATTGGATTCGAATCGGAATATATCTAAACCAGATCTAATACTGTTAATTGTAGATACGATCAAATTGGATTTGATAGACATGGATCTGAATTCGAATTTGTTTGGGAAGTTAGATATTTGGATCTGATTCAATCCAATTTGTTTTATTTAAAAATTAATAAATTATTAAAAGAAAAATAAAATATATCAATTTAAATAAAAGAAAAAAACAAGTATTTTTTAATTGTTTTCATCATATATATACATGTTTTTATACAAAATAAATAATATAACAAATTTACAGAAATACAATATAAATAATATATTTATAAATAAATAAATAACATATATATGTATTATATATTTGTATAAATAAATATATAGCATATATATTGGATTGAATCTTCTCGGATTGGATAGGGGTGATCCAAATTCAATATGATTTCTGATCGGATCCTATTATCTAATCCGACCCAAAGATCTGAACAAGGGTGATCCGAACTTGACCAAATAGGATCAGATGATCTGATCCATTTGCATATTTGCACCCCTATTTTTAGGGATGCAAATAGATTGGATTGAATTCCAAAAAGGTTTATCCACATCCAACGTAACAAGGATATTCAAATTCCTTATTTTATCTATCGACTTATATGCCTCAATTTTAGAAAAGTATATATCAAGGATATTATGTACCATAGCCACAAAAAATGTGATGCTATTAGGCCCCATTATGATGTATTTAGAACTGATAGGTTTTCAAATTCAACACACATTTGATAATATACTATGTTGTGGGGATAGTGTGTTCCAAAGCATTGTGATTTCAAATATAAATATTTTTTATGAAAATATTCCAAATTAATGTTTATTGAGCGTCCCAAAATGTAGTGTATTCTAAAACATGAGATATTTGACATCTTCCAAAATCTATGATCTTTAGGCTCAGTTTGGAAAGAGTACAAATGCAAATATGTATAGTGCAAATGCATACAAAACAATATAAAATATAAGGTTTTGTACTCTACTTTTTTGCATTTGTACTCCTTTCAAACTGAGCCTTGGACCCAATTTCAACAGAGTGCAAATATAAATTAATGTTTTAAAACCAATTAGCGGGGACCTATGTGATGCATGGGATTTGTTAAGTTAAAGATAAACAATAGAAACATGTAAGAGTATACAATTGTTTTATATAATAATTAATAATCATTTATATTTTATATACTATTTTTAATAACTTTTTTATAATACAAAAATAACAATAATTAATTTTAGATAGTGTTGTTTATTAAACTTAGGGATGGAAATTTTCTCCATTTCCCCTATCCCTGTGGGGATTTGCCCCAAATGGGACAGGGATGGGGATGATTTTTCCCTGGTGGGGATGGAGATGGGGAAATTTTTATCCCCGTTGGTGAGGACGGTGTGGGGATGGGGAGAGTACTCCCTGTCCCACAGGGACCCCAATCCCGCCTCATGGGACCCTCGCTAATATATATGTATTTATACACATACGTTTATATATGTATATATGTACACATACATCTATATGTCAATATTTTTAAAAATATGGTTAAATATGTTTGAATCTTTTCTAATATGATTGTAAATTTTAATTATTCAAATAAAAAACAAAAACATAATGTTGACATTATAAAGAATTGCAGGGATGGGGATAACTCTGTCCCCGTTAATAAGGATAGCCTGGTGACGGGGACATATTGAATAGATTGGATTGAATTTCGATAAGGTTTATCCAAATCCAACGTAACAAGGATATTCAAATTCCTTATTTTATCTCTCGACTTAGATGCCTCAATTTTAGAAAAGTATATATCAAGGATGTAGCCACAAAAAAAATGTGATGCTATTGAGCCCCATTATAATGTATTTAAAACAATAGGTTTTGAAATTCACCACGCAATTGATAATGTACTGTGTTGTGGGGATAGTGTGTTCCAAAGCATTATGATTTCAAATATAAATATTTTTCTGAAAATATTCCAAATTAATGTTTATTGAGTATCCCAAAATGTAGTGTATTCTAAATCATGAGATATTTGACCTAATCCAAAACCTATGATCCTTAGGACCAATTTCAAAAGAGTGCAAATATAAATCAATTTAAAAACCAATATGGAGGTCGAATTGATTTTACCTCCATGCCAAACTATTTTGTGTGTGTACAAACACATATTTTATCAACAAATAATGTAAAATTATGTTCTAAATGTGCATGTGTATGTGCGTGTGTGTGTTTTTAATTCAATTTTTTAATTATATATGTATGTATATATATATTAGAAATTACAATTTGATGCCAAAAGGGGGGTTTCGTGAAATTAAGGGGCCAAGACGCATGCATCACCTTGGCATGCATAGATCTCAAAAAGTTGCCCAAAATAAAAAGAAAAAATAAGATCTCCCTAATCGAACATTAGAGCACAAAGTTATGACCTTAGGAACTTTGCATACATATTAAGTATGCAACTGTGACCTGGTCACTAGGTTAATAGGTAAATGGGTTAATGACTAAGTCCAATAATTTTTTACCTAATCAATGGTTTTTGACCAATTTCTAGGTTTTACTAGAATCATACCAAAATTCATGGCCGGATAATGGTTTAAATGATTCAACTAGTTGAATCAATGACAAGTTGAAAACACTAAATATGCACAATACAAATACACGTATACAATATTTTTAAACCTTTTATTTAAAATATATATTTGTATTTATACTCTTCCCAAATGGAATCTTTGTTCCATAATCAAATTCAATTGAAACATATTAGGAAAATTTAAAGTTCAGTCCACCTCATGGATTTTTATTAGGTCTTTGGATTTTATTTACCAACAACTCCACCTATGATTCATTTCATATTATGACTTAAATGAACGCATGTGTTATATCACTCTCGTC